GGAAAATTTGGAAACAAGGCAAGGGTTTGTCCCAGTATATGTCCCAGTACGTGTCCCCGTAGAACAGACACCAATGAACAACCCAGGAGAGGAGGATCCACTGCCACCAGTGATTGATACTGTAACAAGAAAAAAGCCCCAAAAAGCTGCCGGTAAAAAGGCGGGTTAGCTAAAAAACAGAAAAAAATAATAAAATCCTCAATGGGGGCTCCAAGCAGCAGCTTGCATCCCCGTTATCACAGCACTGATGTACAAATTCAAACCATCATCAACACCACAGCCACCGATGCCGATGCCGCCTCCACCTAAACAACAATTAGAAATAAACCTGCATATCATGTTATAAATAATATATATATATATATATATATATATAAGGGCAAATCCGACCTTTGGGCGACAGTACTATAAGCTGCGACCTTTGGGCGACATTGCGATATATTACAAACGTACAATGATTTTTTATATTTCTTCGGTTATATACACTTTAATTTGATAATTAAACATTAAAAGGGGATATAACCTTTTACATATATACAAATAGAGAATATATTTTTGATGTCGCCCATACCGTGTCGCCCAAAGGTAAAGTGTACGGCGTACATAAAATATGCGACCTTTAGGCGACTGTCGCCCAAAGGTCGTATATATATATGTCGCCCAATGGTCGCTTATGTAATATACATATATATATGTCGCCCAATGGTTGCTGTTTAATACTATATACATGTATGCATTTCCATGGCTGCTTATTTGATATATATATGTCGCCCTTTGGTTGTTTTTGTGTTTCAATGTCTTGCGCGCCGAGGAAATTATATTTCATATCTGTGTGCATGAAACTGACTTTCTTGTTTCCGATCTTTAACATCGCACGTACAATCAATTCATAGTTTTGTGCTTAATTATCTCAAATATGATGCTGTCAAACAAATCAGGCTAGTTAGAATTAATACTGAGATTATGATTACTTGTAATATTTCTAAAAATATTATGCTGTAACAGACATTTATCATTTGGCATAACTTGCAATTATTGTTTCCCACTCAAGCGCCGATGTGCCCTTGCTTCATATTAATTAGTGTCCGTTGTTTACCATTCGAGGTTTGCTAAGGATTAAGTTTTAAGGATATGTTAAGATTAACCAACAACTAAATATCAAATATTCCCATACTCAAACACTGAAAACCTCTATAGGAAATAGAGTAAAATTGAGTAAAATTAATAAACTGGATTGCAAAGTCCAGATATGAAAAACGTCTTTTGAACGAGATAAAGTAACAACATCATTAACTTTCGTCATCAAACATGGATTTGGTGAAACTAATTCTAATGACCGATCACAATGAAGAGATGAGCGAAGGTTGATGAAGTCTGAATACCATCTAACCACAGCCCATTTTGAGCCAATCGGGACTATTCTCGTTCTCTTATCATACACTGAGGCATACCAGACGACTCCTGAATAAACTGGGGGCTCCGACACTGTGATTTTCCAAATGTCTGGTCTGAAAACCATTTAAACACAGCCCATTTTGAGCCAGTCGGGATTATTCCCGTATTCTTATCATACACTGAGGCATACCAGATGACTCCTGAATAAACTGCATGGGGGCTCCGACACGGATATTTGCCAAATGTCTGGTCTGAATACCATTTAAACACAGACTATTTTGAGCTAGTCGGGACTATTCCCGTATTCTTATCATACACTGAGGCATACGAGACGACTCCTGAATAAACTGGGGGCTCCGACACTGATATTTGCCTGTTGTCTGGTCTGAATACCATTTAAACACAGCCCATTTTGAGCCAGTCGGGATTATTCCCGTATTCTTATCATACACTGAGGCATACCAGACGACTCCTGAATAAACTGGGGCTCCGACACTGATATTTGCCTGATGTCTGGTCTGAATACCATCTAAACACAGCCCATTTTGAGCCAGTCGGGATTATTCCCGTTTCTTATCATACACTGAGGCATACCAGACGACTCCTGAATAAACTGGGGCTCCGACACTGATATTTGCCTGATGTCTGGTCTGAATACCATCTAAACACAGCCCATTTTGAGCCAGTCGGGACTATTCCCGTTCTCCTATCATACACTGAGGCATACCAGACGACTCCTGAATAAACTGGGGCTCCGACACTGATATTTGCCTGTTGTCTGGTCTGAATACCATCTAAACACAGCCCATTTTGAGCCAGTCGGGATTATTCCAGTATTCGTATCATACACTGAGGCATACCAGACGACTCCTGAATAAACTGGGGCTCAGACACTGATATTTGCCTGTTGTCTGGTCTGAATACCATCTAAACACAGCCCATTTTGAGCCAGTCGGGACTATTCCCGTATTCTTATCATACACTGAGGCATACCAGACGACTCCTGAATAAACTGGGGCTCCGACACTGATATTTGCCTGATGTCTGGTCTGAATACCATTTAAACACAGCCCAATTTGAGCCAGTCGGGATTATTCCCGTATTCGTATCATACACTGAGGCATACCAGACGACTCCTGAATAAACTGGGGCTCCGACACTGATATTTGCCTAATTTCAGGTCTAAATACCATTTAAACACAGCCCATTTTGAGCCAGTCGGGATTATTCTCGTTCTCCTATCATACACTGAGGCATACCAGACGACTCCTGAATAAACTGGGGCTCCGACACTGATATTTGCCTGATGTCTGGTCTGAATACCATTTAAACACAGCCCATTTTGAGCCAGTCAGGACTATTCCCGTATTCTTATCATACACTGAGGCATACCAGACGACTCCTGAATAAACTGGGGCTCCGACACGGATATTTGCCTAATTTCAGGTCTAAATACCATCTAAACACAGCCCATTTTGAGCCAGTCGGGACTATTCTCGTTCTCCTATCATACACTGAGGCATACCAGACGACTCCTGAATAAACTGGGGCTCCGACACTGATATTTGCCTGTTGTCTGGTCTGAATACCATCTAAACACAGCCCATTTTGAGCCAGTCGGGACTATTCCCGTATTCTTATCATACACTGAGGCATACCAGACGACTCCTGAATAAACTGGGGCTCCGACACGGATATTTGCCTGATGTCTGGTCTAAATACCATCTAAACACAGCCCATTTTGAGCCAGTCGGGACTATTCCTGTTCTCTTTATCATACACTGAGGCATACCAGACGACTCCTGAATAAACTGGGGCTCCGACACTGATATTTGCCTGATGTCTGGTCTGAATACCATCTAAACACAGCCCATTTTGAGCCAGTCGGGACTATTCCCGTATTCTTATCATACACTGAGGCATACCAGACGACTCCTGAATAAACTGGGGTCTGACACTGATATTTGCCTGATGTTTGGTCTGAATACCATTTAAACACAGCCCATTTTGAGCCAGTCGGGACTATTCCCGTTCTTCTTATCATACACTGAGGCATACCAGACGACTCCTGAATAAACTGGGGTCTCCGACACTGATATTTGCCTGATGTCTGGTCTGAAATACCATCTTAAACACAGCCCATTTTGAGCCAGTCGGGACTATTCCCGTATTCCTATCATACACTGAGGCATACCAGACGACTCCTGAATAAACTGGGGCTCCGACACTGATATTTGCCTGATGTCTGGTCTGAATACCATCTAAACACAGCCCATTTTGAGCCAGTCGGGACTATTCTCGTTCTCCTATCATACACTTGAGGCATACCAGACGACTCCTGAATAAACTGGGGTCCGACACTGATATTTGCCTGATGTCTGGTCTGAATACCATCTAAACACAGCCCATTTTGAGCCAGTCGGGACTATTCCCGTATTCTTATCATACACTGAGGCATACCAGACGACTCCTGAATAAACTGGGGCTCCGACACTGATATTTGCCTGATGTCTGGTCTGAATACCATCTAAACACAGCCCATTTTGAGCCAGTCGGGATTATTCCCGTTCTCTTATCATACACTGAGGCATACCAGACGACTCCTGAATAAACTGGGGCTCCGACACTGATATTTGCCTGATGTCTGGTCTGAAATACCATTTAAACACAGCCCATTTTGAGCCAGTCGGGACTATTCTCGTTCTCCTATCATACACTGAGGCATACCAGACGACTCCTGAATAAACTGGGGCTCCGACACTGATATTTGCCTGATGTCTGGTCTGAATACCATTTAAACACAGCCCATTTTGAGCCAGTCGGGACTATTCCAGTTTCTTATCATACACTGAGGCATACCAGACGACTCCTGAATAAACTGGGGCTCCGACACGGATATTTGCCTGATGTCTGGTCTGAATACCATCTAAATACAGCCCATTTTGAGCCAGTCGGGACTATTCCCGTTCTCTTGTCGTACACTGAGGCATACCAGACGCCTCCTGAATAAACTGGGGCTCCGACACTGATATTTGCCTGTTGTCTGGTCTGAATACCATCTAAACACAGCCCATTTTGAGCCAGTCGGGATTATTACCGTATTTTTATCATACACTGAGGCATACCAGACGACTCCTGAATAAACTGGGGCTCCGACACGGATATTTGCCTAATGTCTGGTCTAAATACCATCTAAACACAGCCCATTGTGAGCCAGTCGGGACTATTCCCGTATTCTTATCATACACTGAGGCATACCAGACGACTCCTGAATAAACTTGGGGCTCCGACACGGATATTTGCCTGATGTTTGGTCTGAATACCATTTAAACGCAGCCCATTTTGAGCCATTCAGGACTATTCCAGTATTCTTATCATACACTGAGGCATACCAGACGACTCCTGAATAAACTGGGGCCCGACACGGATATTTGCCTGATGTCTGGTCTGAATACCATCTAAACACAGCCCATCACCGCACTAGATCCGCAAGTGCTACCACCCCACGCCCCTATTTTTTCCAAATCAGCTTCGGAGACTCCACCATGGAAAATGGAGCCACATTCCACCCCAGTGCGAACCAATGATAGGAACAAGAAAAATTGTAAGTTTAATAATTACTATTTATTAAACCAAATAGTTTTGACATTCTTATTTGCATAACTTTGCAAAAATGATGTAATTGTGGCATTGACACTTCTCTGATCAAGACCTTGACTAACATTTGTCAGGTTAAATTGCAAACAATGTTGTTCTGTGATAAGGTGTTTCACCTTTAGAGGGTGGGTTCAAATCACACAAGGGATTCACTCCACCCTCTACCAGCAAAGTACTAGTATCTGTACTATACTGGGAAAGTGAATTCCCAAATGTAACATCCCGTAGAAATGATCTGAATATTTATTAAGTTAATTTCATTCTTAAAATGTGTGCCATCTCTTCCTTGTCCTTTGCTGCTGTATTTTCTGCTTGTTCATCATTTTTTTTCTCAGCTGAACATAAGAGCATTCGTGCTAGGAAATCTGTAGAAATGACTGAATGGTCTCGATTTCTGAAATATAACAAAGTTTTCTAAATTATGCAAAAACATCAAGGTACAAAAAGTAGTGAGTATCATCACTCAGCTTCTAGTCCTATAGTCTTTACCCAACTCCCCAACTTAAGGTTTTATTAGGACAAGTAAACATTTGCCATTTTAGATTTAGCTAATTTGTTATCATTATGAGGAGTTGTGGCCTAAATATACTATTCATGCTTTGCTATGAATTAAATCATTGATTCAACAGAAAACTATAATGTGGGATCAAATTTGGTTTAAATATCTAAGCTTATTGTAAGCATGGATCCTAGGTTTCAGTATGTCATTTCATCTTGTGGATCCCATACCTGCTATTGACAGGTGTTGTTTGTTTGTAAATGACTCATTCCATGATTTGCAAAATAGTTGATTGGTGCCATTATAACCATTTTTATGGTTACTCATGTATCAAGTGCATAAGGTTAGACTAAAGTAGCTGTTTGCCTAAAGAAGGGTAACCATATTATTATTTATCCAGTTTTAAATGTATACAATTTCAAATTATAAATCTATGTGTAAGTATAGTTGGGAATTTTTGTGATCCTTAGCAAAGTGTGAGCAGTATATGTTAGTTTCTAATCAATGCAATATACAATATAACAATCTATAGTCATTAAATTAAGTTTGCTATAACGTAGAATAGAAATAGTTCTATAAAGATGAAGCCTTGAGTATTCAGGAAACTTTAATCTGGTAACATGGCTGAAAATTGAATGGGAGTGACTGCCACTGTCTATGAGTGAAATGAGGGTCAGCACTAGTAGTGAGTGAGTTTAGTTTTTAGCTATGACAAGCGAACGCTTAAACCACTAGGCTACCCCTCCGCCCGTCAACCCTAGTAGTAGTAAGCGCTTCATTAAGCAGATACAGACTGAATACCACAGAGAAAGGGAAAGGTGGGAGGATGTCCAGATAGATACTGGTTAACTTTATTGCTTAGTGTTTATCAAACAAGTGAAATAATGATGAAACAAAACACTGACGATATTAATATGCAGCAACATACACATGTTTTGGTATATACTCAGAGAAATTATTATGGCAATGATAAAATAATCAAAGCAACAAGAAAGTAATTGAACAAAAGAGACATTTTTATTAAAACAACATTTTGATTGACAAAAATGGCAGCATTAGTTTTTTGTATAACAAAGGTCCGAACTGAAAATATGTAAAAAAAGGAACATATCTGATTCGCTTAACTTCTAAACCAAACTTCATAAAATTCTGCATACAATTGGCTCAGAGATTTTTCTCCAAATCTCCTACATGTCATGCATGATTCAATTGGAACCAGTTGATGACATATGTCAGCAGTATGTCAGCCAAGTTCGAGCTGTCCTAAAGGCTAAGGGTTAGTTATCTAGTTAGAAAAAAGACATGGTATGTTTTCAGATTTAAGAGTTTTGTTGTGTATTTGATGAACAGAAATTACATTTAGAGCACATAAGTTGCTTGAAGTTTGAAATGTAAACAATTTTGGCATTGACTACTCAATGAAACCCACAAATCTAGAAAACATACAGTATGTACTGACACTGTAGAATACAAACATGATCTGTCATTTTTGTAATTTTTATCTATCTAGGTGACACATATCATTTGAAGTGTTGAATCATAACTGACATCAGTCAATACAGACTGCAAGGAAGAAATCTTAACCCTTTAGTATGTATGATTTAATACTACATCTCAGTGCACAGTACTACAGCTGAGTGCACAGTGTGACAACCAAACCCAACTTACCCATATGATATACCTAGATTACAAACTGATTAGTGAAACAGCCTCTTTAGGGATACACAGTTTGATTACATTCGACTGTAGTCAAGTGAACTACAGAGAGTTTGGTATATACACTACATATGATGTGTAACCCAATGGTGTACTGATAATACATATGATGTGTTGCCCACAGGTCTACTGATTGTATGATGTGTTGCCCTAAGGTCTACTGGTAATATAAATGATGTGTTGACCACAGGTCTACTAGTGATATATAAGATGTGTTGCCCTAAGGTCTACTGGTGATATGTAAGATGCGTTGCCCTTAGGTCTACTAGGGACATATAAGATGTGTTGACCACAGGTCTACTGATTGTATGATGTGTTGCCCTAAGGTCTACTGGTGATATATATCATCTGTTGCCCACAGGTCTACTGGGGACATATAAGATGTGTTGCCCTTAGGTCTACTAGGGACATATAAGATGTGTTGACCACAGGTCTACTGATTGTATGATGTGTTGCCCTTAGGTCTACTGGTGATATATATCATGTGTTGCCTAAGGTCTACTGGTAATATATATGATGTGTTGCCCTCAGGTCTATGGGTGATATATAAGATGTGTTGCCCTAAGGTCTACTGGTGATATATAAGATGTGTTGCCCTAAGGTCTACTGGTGATATATATGATGTGTTGCCCTCAGGTCTATGGGTGATATATGAGATGCATTTCCCTAAGGTCTACTGGTGATATATAAGATGCGTTGCCCTAAGGTCTACTGGTAATATGTGCATAAGATGTGATATATATCATGTGGTGCCCTAAGGTCTACTGGTGATATATAAGATGTGTTGCCCCTTAGGTCTATGGGTGATATATAAGATGCATTTCCCTAAGGTCTACTGGTGATATATAAGATGCGTTGCCCTAAGGTCTACTGGTAATACATAAGATGTGTTGCCCTAAGGTCTACTGGTGATATATAAGATGTGTTCCCCTTAGGTCTACTGGTGATATATAAGATGTGTTGCCCTAAGGTCTACTGGTGATACATAAGATGTGTTGCCCTAAGGTCTACTGGCAATATAAGATGTGTTGACCACAGGTCTAATGATAGTATGATGTGTTGCCCTAAGGTCTACTGGTGATATATATGATGTGTTCACCACAGGTCTACTGGTGATATATATGATGTGTTGCCCTAAGGTCTAATGGTGATATATATGATGTGATGCCCTAAGGTCTCCTGGTGATATATAAGATGTGTTGCTCTAAGGTCTACTGGTGATAAATAAGATGCATTGCCCTAAGGTCTACTGGTGATATATAAGATGCGTTGCCCTAAGGTCTACTGGTAATACATAAGATGTGTTGCCCTAAGGTCTACTGGTGATATATATGATGTGTTCACCAAAGGTCTACTGGTGATATATATGATGTGTTGCCCTAAGGTCTAATGGTGATATATATGATGTGTTGCCCTAAGGTCTACTGGTGATATATAAGATGTGTTGCCCTAAGGTCTACTGGTGATAAATAAGATGCGTTGCCCTAAGGTCTACTGGTGATATATATGATGTGTTGCCCTAAGGTCTACTGGTGACATATATATGATGCGTTGCCCTAAGGTCTACTGGTGATATATAAGATGTTTTGCCCTAATATATATCATGTGTTGCCTAAGGTCTGCTGGTAATATATATGATGTGTTGCCCTCAGGTCTATGGGTGATATATAAGATACATTGCCCTAAGGTCTACTGGTGATATATAAGATGTTTTGCCCTAAGGTCTACTGGTGATATATAAGATGCGTTGCCCACAGGTCTACTGGGGACATATAACATGTGTTGACCACAGGTCTACTGATTGTATGATGTGTTGCCCTTAGGTCTACTGGTGATATATATCATGTGTTGCCCTAAGGTCTACTGGTGATATTTATCATGTGTTGCCTAAGGTCTACTAGGGACATATAACATGTGTTGACCACAGGTCTACTGATTGTATGATATCTTGCCCTAAGGTCTACTGGTGATATATATCATGTGTTGCCTAAGGTCTACTAGTAATATATATGATGTGTTGCTCTAAGGTCTACTGGTGATATATATAAGATGTGTTGCCCTAAGGTCTACTGGTCATATATGTGTTGCCCACGGATCTACTGGTAATACATAAGATGTGTTGCCCTAAGGTCTACTGGTGATATATAAGATGTGTTGCCCTAAGGTCTACTGGTAATATATAAGATGTGTTGCCCAAAGGTCTACTGGTAATACATATGATTCGTTGCCCACAGGTCTACTGGTGATATATAAGATGTGTTGCCATAAGGTCTACTGGTGATATATAGGATGTGTTGCCCTAAGGTCTACTGTTGATATATAAGATGTGCTGCCTACAGGTCTACTGGTGATATATAAGATGTGTTGCACACAGGTCTACTGTCGATATATATGATGTGTTGCCCTAAGGTCTACTGATTATATGATGTGTTGCCCACAGGTCTATTGAAAATATATGATGTGTTGCCCAAAGGTCTGCTGATAACAGATATGATGTGTTGCCCAAAGGTCCTCTGATAAGGTCTGATGTGAATATATATGTGTTGCCCAATGGTCTGTAAAAATAACAAATTGGATGTGTTGCCCAAAGGTACGTAAAAATAATAGATGGGATGTGTTGCCCAATGGGCTGTGATTATAACAGATATGATGTGTTACCCTACATTCTGCTGAATATTAATACATATATATGTATAGAAGTTGCCCGATGGTCAACAAGATACATCCTATTCATCATCAACACAGACCTTTAGACAACACATCCTAGTTGCATACAATGGAATTTAGCTTGATTGATTTACTAATGACCTGCCAGGGATATCATAAAGCAGTCGAGATAAACACATTCTTGACTTTGTATCATGATATATGTTATTGGTGTTCACTTATCTGGATATCTAGAAAGACACTACTAAAAACTGGTGGTACCTTTTGACTTCAAGTCATCTGCTGATGAACAGTATATCCACCTTTACATTTCAGTACTTTCTCACAGATACTACATCTGAATCCTGAAAAGATAAACAAATAAAATGTATTTGCTATAATGTATTAGAGGTGTCTTCAGTTCTCATTTGCTGAATTTCCTGTGTATGAAGGACACCAAAACATTAATGCAAATGTATCAACAATTACATGAATCATTTGATAACAACCCATTTAAACACCTGATACAATTATGTAAAACAAATTTAATTGAGAACCCACCCATCCCCACCCCTAACCGACCCAAGTGATATGAACATAATGGTGTCAGAACTTTAATACACCTGATTATCGAATGGAAGATTGAAAGTTTGACAACAGACAAACAACAAAATGTAGGGAATATGTTAATTTGTATACTCTGTATTGAAAAATGCCAATCCTTTCTGAATTGTGTGCACTACGAAACACGACACGCATCAGCTCTCTATGAAACTGTGGTAAGATATGAATACATAGTAACCTAAAAGTGAAAATGATATCTCTATTATAAAAGATATGATTATTGCAGGGATAAAGTTTTGAATTGCAAATGTTTGGACATCAATCAAGTGCAAAAGTCAATAGAAAAGCGTAAAAATGTTGAAAATTACCCTATTGATATTTGAAAAGAGCAAATTATGCCAATTTTCAAAATTTCTACATTTTCTGTAAAGTTTTCCATGATCAGAACCACAATACTTGTCTGGAACTGCTTGTTATGAGAGTAAATACAGTTTTTCTTTAAATTTTTCATATATGTCATCAAAGACAGACTATCTGTATATAAGGCTATTCCATGTTTATCAATTAATCTCTTATTGGCCATTTTGAATTTTTGATACTTTTATGAATAGTAAAAGATCCTGTATTGAGATAATACCTAAAACATGTATTGCTGCACTCGGTACTGATCGGCACACTACCATTCAAGATAACTGTACTAATATTGAGAAGGATTAAACAAATTGCAAAGATTCATGAGGCATTACTTCATCGGGTATTGCAAGTTTGTGGTGCTGAATTCTAAAGGTAAGCCAGAACAATGTTTAGGTTAGGAGTGAGTGAGTGAGTTAAGATTTTAAGTCACATCGGCAATATTTCAGCCATATCGTGACTAAAGCAAGTTATAAATCTATCAACAATTTAAGGAAATGATAAAATTCTGCCGACGAAGGACAGTAAAATAACTAGATTATCACAGATATACATGTAAAACTAGTAATTGAATCTAAAAACATTTTAACTAGAGGGAACAACACAATATAAAATGGGCTATAGATCGCTAACAACTGAAGTTAGATCACCATACTAGAGACCATGGGGACTTACAGTGCATTTGCTTCCTGCATGGGCCCTAGCTGGATTTACATCATCCCTTCAGCTGTTAGCAATTGAGATAAATCTAGCCATACGTTAAAATTGCACATATTCTACGATTAAAAAATGGAAAGTTGAAATTTACTTTGAATGTTTTGGGACTTACGTACCCTCCTCGGGAGGACAATAATTTTACAGTACTTTAACCCCTCGAGGATACAGCCACTAACAATCTGTGTTACTAATTCGAACTTCTAATCATAAAATATTTATCTATTTACAAATCTGTTAACAAATCTAATTCTTTTAAAAAGGCAATAACTAAATGAGAACTAACATTATTAAAAAGATCCTTCAATGTTTTGACATTAAAATACTTATCCCTTGTGATGGAATTAGGTTAGGAATGCCACCATACATCGATACTTTTTCTAAGATGATACAATCATTGATACATTCAAAAATCGATATTTAGTTTTGAAAGTACTGAGTTAAACATGTTTTAATATGTATCGTTCACATTTTGCAATTGTATCATGTTTTTATGTTATGAGAGTTATAAATGATTATTTTCATACACAAAGATGGGAAATTACAACTTTTTAATCTCTGAGAATAGAAAATGTGGATCTTTTTCAAGGACGCTTTATAAAATATAAAATATTTAATGTTCAAAATGTAACTAATTTTACACAAATAATGCAGCGAAAATAGGTATCATGATACATATCGAATCATGTCATGAGTATCGTGATACGTATCGATTCATGAAACTTATGTATCGCGACATCCCTAGTTAAGGTAGAAATAAATTTAACAAAACTGTAAAATTGGTATTCACAACTTAAATCTAGTATCATGAAGGTATTGATCTCTGGATCACATAACCTACCACTTCCTCACTTTGGAATGCCTGAGACTCCCCTCGATTCTGCAATTTGAAGATCACATTTCTCCTCTGCAAAGCTCAACGTGTCTTGGTCCTGTTCATAGTTGTCTGTATTATGTAACATTAAAATGTCAACAATATTATTCTCAAAATGATTATGAACTTAAATTCAAAACTGAGCTTAAGAAATAATATTTTTCTTCTGAACTGATAAAGCATTTAAAATTCTACACGATTTAGTTGTCACCCTAACAACATACATACATTATGAATTTACAATGTTTCATATTCAAAACCATTGTAAAAGAAAATTAACTTACCGGGCATAAACTGGATTGGATAGGATTTCCATGTCTAATAGGACCATCCGAGACTAGCAATTAGTCTCTGAATATATATAATTTTGATAGAATCAAACAAATCCTTTTAAACTGAAAAGGAGCTCCAGTGAGATGGGAGATTCCTGAAACTAAGTAAATCTAGACTTGCTTAAATTAGGTCTTTATCATTGCAGAAAGGCATAGACGGAAGTAAAAATAATGCAGTTCAGGAACTATGAGACAGGCTAGATCTTTCCTGACTTTTACAGTCTATGTCATCTTTCATCTTGAGTTGAAGGGTGACCAAAGGAAAAAACTTGTGCCATCAAGTCAATTTGATTGGAATTTAAGAATACCCATAGTATCATAGTTTCAATTTACTCACACAATATACAAAGTTATGTCTTTAGTCATGGGTTGCTTCTAAGTCATGTTCAGGATTTTGTTAGTCATCCATGCATAAAGGTAAAAACTCACCAGTAATACAAAATGTTGATTTCTTTCAGGTTTATTTTTAATTTACTATTCATAATAATAATCATCGATTCTATGATTTATATCAATACTGTCTGCCCAGTGCTGTTCAGAGATGTTGGTGTTAGTCGACAATGCAAACTATTAGCCGATGATGGACCAATGATGAATAGCACACTACCTGAATAGATGCATCAAAGAGGCATTTCTGAAACTGTTATTATGGCTTTGTAAAGGTTACTTACAAGAGGAGGAGGCTTTAAATTCTTACTGTTTGTACTGAAAGAAATGTTAAACTTCACCTCCATTTTTAAAAAGAGAGAAATAGTTTGTTTAAGAAACCCCGCTTTGAACAAAATTACCCTTTTATGCAATTTGACTTCTAAGGGAACTTAAAAACCATAAAAGACTAATAACATATCCCTCAGATAGAAACAGTTGGTCTATTGACCAACCAATAAGTTATAACATGTCTTAATGTGTTTAGTGAGATCCATCCTTGATTTTTCAGTTAATCTTATCCTGTCCACTGGTATTTACCCTCTTTCCTATGTTACACAATGTACAGGATTTAGACTTTAAAATGAGGAAATGTCCCTGCATTAAACATACAAAGATCCTGTGAGTGGGAGGATGTATTGCTCATAATTATGCTGGCTGAGTGGCAGTGGCATGTGGACAGACATGGTTATAGTCCTGGGCCAAATGCAAGAAAAGTTTTTATCTTTTAGGATCTCTCAGCATCAGTAAATGTGTTTTCTGGTAATTAGAAATTCTTGTCATAATCAGCCACAAAATGTATCAGGTTACTAAAACCAAACAAGGTTTGACCCAGACAGCCTTTACTTGTAGGTAATAAGGTGGTAGGCTACAATCTTTGTACTCATATGGAGATAATTATTATTATTAGCATGAAAATGGTGCAACATATACATTTCATCACTATACACTGATATTTTCACTCTGATAGACCAGTGGAGGAGATAGACTGCACATAAACACCCAAAGGAGCAGGGTTCAAAGCAGGAGTACAAAAAGCTATATTTGAAAGTTAGAAACTCTTGATATAAATAATGTAACTGAAACATATTATGGTCAAGAGAGCAAATGCATATTTCCTTTGCATGAACAATTTAGGAAATGTGTAGCTGATATAAAAATGTGTAGTTCAGCTATCAGAGGAAACAGCAAAGAGCAACAATGGAGAGTGCCATTATGAAACTATAACTACAAGTCTTCCTCAACACTGCACTATCAGCTCATTATTTGAGCAAACCCATGTCAATGAGTATTACCCCATGGTCAGAATATGCAGTGTGGGTGATAAAACCGATTGTAATGTGTTATGCTATGTCTACATTTGGCCTATAAGTAATTTTACTGAATTCAAGTCTTACAGATTTGGTTAGTTATTGAAATTAGTAATGGTTATTGACTGTTTTTGGGGTTTTATTTATCTATTAGTTGGTAGATATATATTTAAAATAAGAAAACAATATATCAGTGCAAAAAGTCAGTCTGATACCCTGAATATCAGGCATCAGAATGAGAGATGTTTTGGGGTTTTTTTGCCGCACCGGAACTGCACCTAAAAGTAAAAGGTCAATTTCAACCACTGAGTGAACATAAAATCATACAGCTGTGATTAGCTCTTTCGGTTGTGGATCTACAGTAGTTGGCCATAAGTGAGTCATCAATAGTGAAATTCACATAGACTTTCATGTTAATTAATTCTTGCAAGAATAATTTTCATACATTTAGTTTGGGTGGAATTGCTTTCAGCACTTATCTACCAGCTTGGAAATCATCTCAGCTTTGTACACATAATTTCCTTTTAATTTTCCGAGGATTATTAAGAAGACTGCAACTTCTTAAACAACATATATTAGACATACCAATCAGGTTTAACATGTCTATGGGATATATAAAAATTAAGTTGTATTTATGGTGCTTAATCAGGTGTCATTCGATAACTAATCAATGGAAAGATGAAAGAAAATTATGTACACGTAGCTGAAGATGATTTCCAAGATGTTTGCAAACTTCTACTCAATTTATGAAAATTATTCTTGCAACAGTTAATTAACATGTAAGTCTATGGAAATTTCACTAATGATGACTCACTTATAGCCAACAACTGTACCCTGTAGTCTGTGTCACAGTCCCCTGAACCACAATATTATTTTCCTTACTGCCTTGCCCTTTCTGCAATGCTAAAGGCCCTAAATGAAGCAAGTCTAGATTTTCTCAAGTTCTGTTTTCCCCGGGGCTCCTTTTCAATTTATAATGCGTTTGTTTGTTGATATAAAAAAAATTATATTCAGAGACTAAGCGATAGTCTAGCCCTAGGTGAGGATCAAGAAACAACATGATACGAAACGTCACAATCGCGATCAAGTTAGATCTACTAGCAAACAGTTTCTTCCAGTTGAGAAATCTTGAAATAGATTGTGTCATGGGACAGGCATCGCCTTTGAAACAATTGTACATGCTGCTGTTTTCAACAAAATACTCCGATTACGATACATACCATGCATTTCCCAATGCTTTGTGCTGCCAAGTCACCTCGTGTAGTGCGCGAAAACTGTAGCAAAGGGTATCCGATTTGACACAAAACGAACGGGCCTTCGTGTGAAACATGAATTCAATTTATTTACAGATTATTACATTGATATTTTGATATAAGAATGAAATGTTTTAAGTATTTAAACGTGTTCTTGGTGGCATATTAGTCTTGTCTGTCAGCTCCCACAATATCTACAGACATTATTGAATTATTAGCTAAGTGTTCATTTCGACGTTGCCGCTTTTGAACTTTCACGTTTTTGACGCACAGGAGCGTGAAGGCAAATCGCCGAAGGGTACTGCGAGCGAAACAGTGATGTTATGCTGAACACTTGACGATGTGTATATTTGAAAAAACAGTACAAAACCTAAGAGTATATATTTAGACAATAATTTCTCCATTGTTTATTTCTGAACATATATCCATGTGTTAGAGAATTTTATAGAAAACCCCGTGTCGCCGAAAGGTCGCAGACGTTATATACATGATATTTTTGTTTTTTCAATAACAGCACTGAAATTTTATAAAAATACAAAAGAAGCACACCCGAAGGTCCTGAGACTACCCTCTATCCAACCATCTAGTTTGGAATAGTTATTAAGGAAAATGAACATAGTTGTGACATGCAGATATTTAGGCGACAGAAATATATCCTTAGGGCGACAGCTGTCGCCTAAAGGTCGCACAAATGTCGCCCAAAGGTCGACTTTGTCTATATATATATATATATATATATATATATATATATAAATGCTAACTAAAAGTGAATATTTCCTAAACTATTTGACCGATTTTCGTGAAATTTGCATGTACCTCCGTGGTAGTATACACAATGGCAGGTTAATACGGCCTTAGGAAGAACATGGTCACTTCCAGCTATTCTGTATACTACTAGAGTGACATGACGTGATTCAATGTTTGGATGAGTGACATGACGTGAATCACTGTTTGGATGAGTGACATAACGTGAATCAGTGTATGGATGAGTGACATAACGTGAAGCAATGTGTGGATGAGTGACATGACGTGAATCAATGTGTGGATGAGTGACATAACGAGAATCAATGTGTGGATGAGTGACATGACGTGAATCAATGTGTGGATGAGTGACATAACGTGAATCAATGTGTGGATGAGTGACATAGCGTGAATCACTGTTTGGATGAGTAACATAACGTGAATCAGTGTATGGATGAGTGACATAACGTGAATCAATGTGTGGATGAGTGACATGACGTGAATCAATGTGTGGATGAGTGACATGACGTGAATCAATGTGTGGATGAGTGACATGACGTGATTGAATGAGTGGATGAGTGACATGACGTGAATCAATGTGTGGATGAGTGACATGACGTGTATCAATGTGGGGATTAGTAACCGAGTGTAAATCACTGTGTGGATGATTGACATGACGTGATTGAATGTGTGGATGAGTGACATGACGTGAATCAATGTGTGGATGAGTGACATGACGTGTATCAATGTGTGGATTAGTAACATAGCGTAAATCACTGTGTGGATGAGTGACATGACGTGAATCAATGTGTGGATGAGTGACATGACGTGAATCAATGTGTGGATGAGTAACATAACGTGAATCAATGTGTGAATGAGTGACATGACGTGTATCAATGTGGGGATTAGTAACCGAGTGTAAATCACTGTGTGGATGAGTGACATGACGTGATTGAATGAGTGGATGAGTGACATGACGTGAATCAATGTGTGGATGAGTGACATGACGTGAATCGATGCGGGGATAACTGGCATGACGTGATGAATGAATGTGTGGATGAGTGACATGACGTGAATCAATGTGGATGAGTGACATGATGTGAATCAATGTGTTGATGGTGAGGTGAAATTGGGTTTAACGTCGTGGATGAGAATATTTCGCTCATATGACGACGTGCATGCGTGTGTATGTGTATGTGCAGTTGCTTGTACTAGCCCAGACTAAAGCTGGTTTTATAGTGCTAGCTCACTGAGATGCCATGCCGCAGTGAAGCATGAATATCCCACTCAGACACATTATACTGACTCCGAGCCGACCAGTCCTTGTTGTACCCATTAATGCCGAGCGACAGGCAGGGACCAACAAGTACCATATTTAAACGTCTTTGGCATGACGCGGTCGGGGATCGAACTCGCGACCTTCCACTCTCCGGCGGACCCTCTAACCACTACATCACGGAGGCGGTACTAATGTGTTGATGAGTGACATGACGTGAATCAATATGGGGATGAGTGACATGACGTGAATCAATGTGTGGATGAGTGACATGACGTGATTCAATGAGTGGATGAGTGACATGACGTGAATCAATGTGTGGATGAGTCACATGACGTGAATCACTGTGTGGATGAGTAACATGACGTGAATCACTGTGTGGATGAGTGACATGACGTGAATCAATGTGTGGATGAGTAACATAGCGTAAATCAATGTGTGGATGAGTGACATGACGTGAATCAATGTGTGGATGAGTGACATGACGTGAATCAATGTGTGGATGAGTGACATGACGTGAATCAATGTGTGGATTAGTAACATAGTGTAAATCACTGTGTGGATGAGTGACATGACGTGATTGAATGTGTGGATGAGTGACATGACGTGAATCAATGTGTGGATGAGTGACATAACGTGAATCAATGTGTGAATGACTGACATGACGTGAATCAATGTGTGGATTAGTAACATAGAGTAAATCACTGTGTGGATGAGTGACATGACGTGATTGAATGAGTGGATGAGTGATGACGTGACATGACGTGAATCAATGTGGATGAGTGACATGACATGAATCGATGCGGGATGAGTGGCTTACATGACGTGAATGAATGTGTGTGGATGAGTGACATGACGTGAATCAATGTGTGGATGAGTGACATGATGTGAATCAATGTGTTGATGGTGAGGTGAAATTGTGGATGACGTCGTGACTTGAGAATATTTGGATGATAGTGACATGACGTGCATGCGTGGATAATGTGACATGACGCAGTTGCTTGTACTGAGTGACTAAACCTGGTTTTATAGTGCTAGCTCACTGGGATACCATGCCGCAGTGAAGCATGAATATCCCACTCAGACACATTATACTGACCGAGCCGACCAGTCCTTGTTCTACCCGTTAATGCCGAGTGACAGACAGGGACCAACAAGCACCATATTTAAACGTCTTTTGGTATGACGCGGTCGGGGATCGAACTCGCGACCTTCCACTCTCCGGCGGACCCTCTAACCACGTATCACGGAGGCGGTACTAATGTGTTGATGAGTGACATGACGTGAATCAATATGTGGATGAGTGACATGACGTGAATCAATGTGTGGATGAGTGACATGACGTGAATCAATGTGTGGATGAGTGACATGACGTGAATCAATGTGTGGATGAGTCACATGACGTGAATCACTGTGTGGATGAGTAACATGACGTGAATCACTGTGTGCATGACTGACATGACGTGAATCAATGTGTGGATGGTGACATGACGTGAATCAATGTGTGGATGAGTGACATGACGTGAATCAATGTGTGGATGAGTGACATGACGTGAATCAATGTGTGGATGAGTGACATGACGTGAATCAATGTGTGGATGAGTGACATGACGTGAATCACTGTGTGGATGACTGACATGACGTGAATCAATGTGTGGATGAGTAACATGACGTGAATCACTGTGTGGATGACTGACATGACGTGAATCAATGTGTGGATGAGTGACATAACGAGAATCAAAGTGTGGATGAGTGACATGACGAGAATCAAAGTGTGGATGAGTGACATGACGTCAATCAATGAGTGGAGGATGACATGACGTGTGAAACAATGTGTCACTGATGAGTCAGATGACGTGAATCAATATGTGAATGAGTAACATGACGTGAATCAATGTGGGGATGAGTAACGTGACGTGAAAATCACTGTAGGGATGAGTGACATGACGTGATTCATTGTGTGGATGACTGACATGACGTGAATCAATGTGTGGATGAGTAACATAACGTGAATCACTGTGTGGATGACTGACATGACGTGAATCACTGTGTGGATGAGTGACATGGCGTGAATCAATGTGTGGATGAGTGACATGACGTGAATCAATGTGTGGATGAGTGACATAACGAGAATCAAAGTGTGGATGAGTGACATGACGTGAATCAATGAGTGGATGAGTGACATGACGTGAATCAATGTGTGGATGAGTGACATGACGTGAATCAATGTGTGGATGAGTAACATAACGTGAATCAATGTGTGGATGAGTGACATGACGTGAATCACTGTGTGGATGAGTGACATGACGTGAATCAATGTGTAAGATTAGTAACATGCATAAATCAATGTGAATCAATGGGATGAGTGACATGACGTGAATCAATGTGTGGATGAGTGACATGACGTGATCAATGTGGATGGATGAGTGACATGACGTGATTGAATGAGTGGATGAGTGACATGACGTGAATCAATGTGTGGATGAGTGACATGACGTGAATCAATGTGTGGATGAGTGACATAACGTGAATCACCGCGTGGATGACTGACATGACGTGAATCACTGTGTGGATGACTGACATGACGTGAATCACTGTGTGGATGAGTGACATGACGTGAATTAATGTGTGGATGAATGTGACATAACGTGAATCACTGTGTGGATGACTGACATGACGTGAATCAATGTGTGGATGAGTGACATAACGAGAATTACAGTGTGGATGTGTGACATGACGTCAATCAATGAGTGGATGAGTGACATGACGTGAATCAATGTGTGGATGAGTGACATGACGTGAATCAATGTGTGGATGAGTGACATAACGTGAATCACTGTGTGGATGACTGACATGACGTGAATCAATGTGTGGATGAGTGACATGACGTGAATCAATGTGTGGATGAGTGACATAACGTGAATCAATGTGTTGATGAGTAACATAACGTGAATCACTGTGTGGATGAGTAACATAACGTGAATCACTGTGTGGATGACTGACGTGAATCAATGTGTGGATGAGT